TAGATTTACTCCTTTGTCCCAATATTTGTGCCTTTTATTTCCTTCTCATGTTGTATTTTATGGCTTCAGACTCCAGAACAATATTGAATAGAAACAGTTGGAATGAATAACATTGCATAGTTCCTGATCTTAAGAATAATTCGATATTTCATCAGTAAGTCTGTTATTAGATGCAATTTTTTGGTAACTGACCTTCCTTGAAATTGAGGAGATTTCCTTCTTTTCTAAATGTGTTGAGAATTTTTAAAATCATGCATAGATTTTGAATTTTGTCAAATCCCCTGCATCTATTGAGCTAATCATATGGTGTTTCCTTTATTCTGTTAATGTGGTGAATTACTTTATTGACTTTTGTTATTGAGCCAATTTTGCATATCTGGGATAATTCTGGTTTTGGTTTGCTAATACTTTGTTAAGAATTTTTGTATCTATATTTATGAGGGCTGTTCATAATTTTATTATAATGTCTTGCTTAAATGTTGGTATCAGGGTTATGCTAGTCTCATGCAGTAAGTTAGTAAGCATTTTTCCTGGTCTATTTTCTGAAAGGAAAATTTTAAGTTGTCATTATTTCTTCCTGAAATGTCTGGTAAATATATCAGAGCAGACACCTGGATCTGGTGCTTTCCCCGAAGTTGTATTTTCATTATGAGTTCAATTTCTTTAATAGAAAACCTGCTATCCAGATTTTGTATTTCATTATGAGTCAGTTTTAATAACTTGTGTTTTTTTAAGTAGTAATCATTTTTGCTTAAGTTTTTGAATTTGTTAGTATAATGCTGTTTATAATGTTACCATAGGAGCCATAATGATATAATTTCCTTCATTGCTGATATTGGCAATTTTTGGTATCTTTATTATTTCTTGATTTTTCTTACTAGGTACTTGTAAATTTTACTAATCTTTCCAGAGAATCAGATCCAGATTTTGTTCATATACTGTATTTGTTCTATTGATCACTACCTTTATCTTTATTCTTTTTATTTATATTTAGTTACTTCATGCTTGTTTTTCTTTGTCTAGATTTTTAATTTATACTTTAATTTATTTTAGACATTTTTTTCAAATATAGACACTTAAAGTTATACATTTTTTTCTCTATTCTTTAGCTGCATCCCACAAATTTTTCTGTGTCTTCATTATCGTTTTGTTCAAATATTTTCTGACTTCTCTTGTGAATTCTTCTTTGACTAGTGACTTATTTATAATATATTATTGAATATCTAAACATTTAGGCATTTTAAATATTTTTTTATTGAATTCTGATTTAATTTGATGACCAGAAAACAATATGCATTTTTATCTTTCAGAGTTAACTTTTAATGTTGTATTACTTCACATTTCTCATTTTCCATTTCTCAATTCTTCCTATACATTTTATTTTTCCCATTTCACTAATATAAAAATATTATAGCAATATAATTTTATTTACCCATTTCCACCATCTTTTGTCCTAATGGTGTCATATTTTTTATTTGTATACATGTTAGAAAGTAAACTTATAAAATTGTTTCTTTTCCTTTAATTGGTAAGTTATTTTTAAAGGAAATTAAGAAAAGAAAATTTTTATTTGCTTATTTGTTTGTTTATTTTAGTGTTCAAGAGCTTTTATGTATTAGAATTGATTGAATTTTAAAAATATCAATATATTTTCGGAAGAATATATGCATCCCTATGATCATTGCAGAGTTGTTTAGAATAGCCAAGATCTAGAAGTAACCCAAGTGCCATCAGTACATAAAAAAGCTGTTGTACATTTACAGCTTGGCCATATAAAAAAAAAAGAAAGTTTACTCTTTGTGACAGCATGGAAGTACCTGGATGTATGCTAAGTGAAATAAGCCAACCAGAGTAAGACAAATACCAATGATTCCGTTATATGTGGAATCTAATGAACAAAATACACTAACGAACAAAACAGCAAAAGACTCATAGATACAGAGAAAAGAACATCTATTAGAGGGGTTGGATGCTGGTTGCAGAGGGGGGAAGGATTAAACAAAAAACAACTTTATTCACATATTTATTACTAGAGGCCGACCTGGTGATCAGGGGAAGGTGATGCCTCATCACACCTCTGCTGCTGCCACTGCCAGACGTGCAAGCCTCAGCTGGCCCTACTTACCTTAGCCTTGGGCTGGCCCTGGTCAGCTGGGGGGGCTGAGGGGACTAGGGGACTCTGGAAGCAGGCACACGATGGGGCTGAGGATACTGGGCACTGCCATCTTGTGGCTGTGGGCCCTGCTATCTTTGAGGGTGTGGCAGTCTATTAGCATATTCCTTCTTTATTAGATAGGATTACTTTCTTCATTTCCTGCAGATATGAATTTCCATGTAGTATTATTTCCTTCAAGCTGAAAAATATTCTTTAATATTTCTTGAGGTGCTGGTCTTCATGCAACAGATATCCTCATGATTTTTTTTTTAAAGAAAATGTTTTTATTTTATCCTCATTTTGTAAAGAAATATTTGCTGGCTGGATATAAATTTTGGACTGACTATTTTATTTAATTTCTTTAGCACTTTAAATACATCATTTCTTACTGCTAATGCATGGTCTTTCTGAAATTTTAGCTGAGTGCTAGTGAGGTGTTAATAGAGTGTAAGGAGGTGTCCAGAAATCTCATGCAACTCATAACTCTGCTGACGTTTAGTAAATGTGTTCTACTCTCAACCTCATAACAGTTCCTTTCTTGGAAAGTTGTGTACTCGTTCCTTGCATATGAACAGTGCAGCTCTCAGGCAAGGACCCACCAGAATACCCCACCTAGAGTTCTGGGGCTGGCTCACTTTTACAAAAGTCCCTCCTATTTACTGATGTTGTTTAGATTCCAGCCCCTTCAGTATCTTCAAACTAATGTGAGACTACTCAGCTCAGTTGGAATGCTGTACCCTGGACTCCAGGTCCAGCTCCACCTGTTTAGGGAAACTGTGCCCAAGTGGAAAGCAGACTGGGATGGTAGATGTTACATTAATTTTTTAAAATATTTTCCCAGCTTTATAGCATTTATGATATATTGTAGTCAGCTCATACTAGTTCAGAAGAGGCACATTTTAAATTTGTAGGAATTTTGCAAGCTAGCTGTTAAGCTATTGGTAGCTTGAATTCAGCCAAAGGAGGAGTATGAATGCCATAGAAACAGGCAAATGTTACAAATCAGGTCTTTTTTTGTTTTCTTTTTTTTCTTTTTTTCTTTGTTAGAGAACTGGTTTTTAAAGATTTACCAGCACACCACTGTTTCTGGCACTAATTATGTTACTAATTACTCCAATACTCTTTGCTTCTTTGTCTCTTTCTCTGAGCTTCCATAGGAGATGAATTGAGACCTGAGATTGAGAAACAAAGCAGTAGAAATGAAGGGAAGGAGTCCTGAAGGTACTTTTGTACCTGCCAATTTAGTTGCCCATCTTCTTTTTGAATACTTGTGACTTCTACAAGTTTCAGTTTATGCCTAATATACCTCATGTTGGATTTTGTCACTTGAAGCAAATATTTTCTAATTTTCAATTCTGCCTTTAATGTAGTTAAAATCCACACCTTCTGTGAGACTTTCCTGACATATTTGTCCTATAATATCCTGCTTCTTCTGTATAAATACTAATTTTCTAGTCATACACCAAATTAGGCATTAAGCTATATTATTCATTATAGTCACTATTGTGTTCTGTGTCCTCAATTCAATTAGAATCTACATAAGTACAGGAATCATTTTCTCTTATTTGTTTCCCACCTACTGTCTAATAAATGTAGAAACTCAAAACATTGAATTGTAGAAACTCAACAGATCCTTGATGATGGCTTGACTTCTGAATTATTTAAATATACATATTCTTTGTAGACAAGTCTATTTGATTTTTGTTTCTCTTTAAATCAACCTCTCCTGTTTATGTGGTACTACATCATCAACACAATCACTTCCTTTAGAAGAGATGAGTTTAATTAGTTAAATATGAATCCATGGGTTTACTAAAATGGTGAATCTAATATATTTATCTTAACAAACAAGATAATTTGATGTGGCCTAGTTATTTTAGTGACTAGTTATTATAGTTTATCAAATGTGCTTCATCTACCATGATGTGATTGGATGATTGTGATTAACCTTCAAGTACCCTATCATCTCTCTTCTCACTTGCTGTGGAGACTATAATCGATCTAAATAAACATCTGTGGCTATTTTTTCTCTGTTTAGGAAATTCCTTTGGCTCTGTATCCACTCTTTTCTTAAAACTTTTTCATGCTGGCCTAATTTTTCCTCTTAACTTATTTTCATATATATATATATATATATATATATATATATATATATATATATATATATCTCCTCACCTGAGGATGTTTTTATTGATCTTAGAGGAAGGGAGGGAGAGAGAGAGAGAGAGAGAGAGAGAGAGAGAGAGAGAGAGAGAGAGAGAGAGAGAGAGAGAGAGAGAGAAACACCAATTGGTTGCTTCTTATATGGGCTCCAACAGATGATCTAATTTTCAACCCAGGTATGTGCCCTAACTGGGAATCAAACCTGCAACCATTTGATGTGCAGGATGACACTCCAACCAACTGAGCCACAGGAGTCAGGCCTCTGTATATCTTCTTTTGTAGATTAATCAAGTAGACTTGGGCTCCCATTTTTATACTACTTACATGATATAAACTAAACCAAACAATTAGGAGACACAATAGATAAAATTACTACCATAACTCTTAAGAGGTAAGCATGACAAATTAGAGACCAGTTTTATTATGAAGCCTGTCAGAGAAGTCACAGAAGTTGAGAAATATTTAAACTGTTTTTTTTTTTCTCATATCTAGTGTAACAGACATCAATTTACAGATGAGAAAACTGTAGCTCAGAGACAGGGAAATGTCCACTTTAAAGCTGGAAGTACTAGTAGAACCCTGGTCTGATCCTTTGTCCATAGCTCCCTCCACTATCACACAAATTTTAAGCGAAATTGTCCTCTCTTTTGTTTTGTCTTTCTTACCTTGAAGGTTGGAATACTTTTTCCTCTCTTTTTTTTTTCTCCTCATCTCCTCCCACCCTATTTTTAATGCTACTCTTCACAGAAGCATAACTAGTTGGCTATACTTTCCTTCACCTTTCTCTCACTTTCCATTTGTTTTCCAATTCATTACAATCTACTTTCATTCTACCCTGCCTCTGACCCCCTGAAAGATTAATATCAATGTCACCAATGATTCCATGTTGTCAAATCCATTGTCGCTTCTCTGTCCTTATCTATTGAACTCTCAGCAGCAGTCAATATGCAACATTTTCTCTCTTCCTTTTTTTGATTTTGGATTTGGTGAACCATAAACTACTGATTTTCCTTCTACCTTACAGGCTGCTCTTTCTTGATTTTTATTGTCTCCTACTCCCCTAACTAATCTCTAAGTGTTAAAGTATCTTAGAGCTTTTCCTCAGCTCTCTTTCCAATTTATAATTTTAGAGTAGACTGTCACATCCATTTCAGTGGACTTAAACATCATCTAAATACTGATAACTTTCACACATAACTCACCAGCCATTTCCATTAAGCTGTAAATTTATTTACCAGTATACAACTATCTACTTGACATTTTCCCTTGGATTTCAACTAAACAAGTCTAAATCGGAATTCTTGATTTCTAACTTTCCCACGCATGTCCTTGCTGGTCTTTTCCATCTTAGAAGATTATTCAACCATTTGCACAAGTTAAAAAACTATGAAAAACCCTGATTGTAAAACTGACAAAGACATTACAAAAAATAAAATTACTATCTAATGTACCTCATGAATATAGATACAAAAGTCCTTAAGATATTAGCAAATAAAATCCAACTGCACATAAAATGGGCAATACCAAGTAGAGTTTATCCCTGGTACTATTTGGTTTAATATTAAAAAGTCAATCAAGCTGAAGCCAGTTTGGCTCAGTAGTAGAGTGTCGGTCTGCGGACTGAAAGGTCCCAGGTTCGATTTCGATTAAGGGCATGTACCTTGGTTGCGGGCACATCCCTGGTAGGGGGTGTGCAAGAGGCAGCTGGTCGATGTTTCTCTCTCATCCACGATTCTAGCTCTCTATCTCTCTCCCTTTCTCCCTGTTAAAAATCAATAAAATATATTTTTTAAAAAAGTCAATCAATATAATTCATCATACTAATATAATAAAGGAGATAAAGCATATGATGATCTCAATTGCTGGAGAACAAAAGAATTTGACAAAATTTACACCTATTCATTGATAAAAAACAAAACAAAATAAAACAAAACAAAAACTTTCAGTATTCAAGGAATACAAGGAATTTTTATTCTGAATAAGGCATCTATGAAAAACTAACAGTTAACATCCTTCTTAATGGTGAAATATTGAATGCTTTCTCCTGAGACCACCAACACTCTCACCACTTCTATCAACATTTTAATGGGAATTCTAGATTTCAATAAAAAATATAAGGAAATAAAAGGCACACAGATAAGAAATGAAGTAAATATGTCTTTATTCACAGATGACATACATGTCAAGGTAGAAAAGACTAATGAACCTTTGAAAAAGCCACTAAAACTAATACAGATGAATAAAACTAATACAATGTCTCAGGATATAAGGTCAACATACAAAATCAATTGCATTTCCTATATTTAACAGCATAAAAGGAGGAAGATTAATTTAAAAATTACTATTAAAATAAAATAAGTATAACATAATTAGAAATACATTTAACAAGATGTGCTAAACACTCAGGAACATAGCTAAAATTAAAATTATTGACAAACACCAAGTGTTGACAAGCATATGAAACAACTGGAACTCTCATACATTGTTGATGGGAGTGTATAATGATCTACATTTACTTTACAAGAAAATCTGGAAATTTCTTAACAACATGTACTTATCCTATGACTCAGCATTTCTGTTTCTGCCCAGAGAAATGAAAACATATCCATAAAAAGAATTATGTGAGAATGCTTATGTCAAATTTATTAGAACTATATAAAATTGTGAATAGCCCTGTGTCAGTCCATTTACAACTGAATGACTATACAAACTAGGGTACATTCATACTATACAACACTGCTTAGCAATAAACAGAACAAACTATTGCTGTACACAGCAACGTGGATGAATTTCACAAACATGCTTATTGAAAAAGCCTTTCGCAAAAGAGCACATACAGTATGATTTCACTTATATGAAGTTCTAGAGACCAAGCAAAAAGAAACTATATGGCAAAAAAATGAGGATATTAGTTATCTCTGAGAGAGTAATGAATGTTTGGGAACATATATAAGGGATGATGATGATGTTCTGTATCTTGGTAGGAATTAAGGAAGGAGTTATCAATTGGAGGCAATTTTAACCTTCAGGTTACTTTGGAAGTCTGGAGATGTTTTTAGTTGTCACAACTGGAGAGGGTGTGTGTGGTGCTATTGGTATGCAGTGGGTAGAAGAGAGGGATGCTGCTAAACATTCAACAATGCCTTGGACAGCAGCCAGAATACAGACTTATCTAAAGCTGAGAATAGTGTCACATTTTAAAACCTTGGGTCAGGGCTACTTAAGTGTATGCATTTTTCAAAACTCATTAAATGGTATGCTTAAGACTGGCTGTTATAATAATGTTATGGTCATAAGGAAACTCCTATAATGTACGAAATAATTATTGTGTAAAATGTTTGCTGTGTGGAAACCCCAATACTCTGTAACTTCCAAAGTTGATGAACACCCCACTATCTTGATGTAAAAGCCCTAAGCTCTTAAAGTGTAAAAGCCCTGCTCCTAGCATAAGGCACACCGTCTGGCCCACATTGATAAGGACATAAGTTGTTTACTACAGGCTATATAAGCATGGGACCTTCTTCAGTTGATGTCTTTTGCCTGATAGAGGAGGACTCTACGTTGCTCCTGAGATGAACCCCTGACTGCTCTGCTGTGTGAGCCCAAACCAACTGCGGCCACCTGACTGTCTGGGTCTTTGTTGTTCGTCCTTCAGTGTGCATCACCATGTTGCCTTTGCCCAAGCCTAGAACCCACTAGGAATAGGTAAATAAACCTTGTGTGACTGCATACTAATTCTGTCTGTGTGCCATGTGTTCTGGTTCAGCTCAGCTGTCTAGACATTGAAGTGCCAGGGGATAGGCCATTATTGCTGACTCCTGGTCACCTGCATTTGTCCCACTAAGTCTAGACAGATAATTAATTAATTGGAGCATAATTGGGACACTGGCATTTCATTGCATGCAATTTTTCTATAAAAATATAAAAACCCAAACCACATATTGATCCTAGTTATACCATGCATACTGTAGTAAGGGGTAGGGAGGGATGTGTTTTGATGTTCTCAACTTTTTTTTGTTCACCCTAAGAAGATAAAAAAAAATAACATAGATTGATGCATGGACAGTAGAATAAATAAATGGATGGTTATGTGATAAAGTATATAGCAAAATGTTAACTTTGCAATCTACATCGTGAGTATATAGATATTCATTACTCAATTCATTCAACATTCTCTGAACTTGAAAATTTTCATGATAAAATGTGGTCATCCCTGATTTTTTTTTCTTTAACCCATCTACCCTTACTTATTCTACCTGTATGTCCTGCTTATACTACCCTGTTTCCCTGAAAATAAGACAGTGTCTTATATTAATTTTTGCTCCCAAAGATATGCTAGGTCTTATTTTTAGGGGATGTCTTATTTTTCCATGAAGAAGAATACAGTACACATTTATTGTTAAATGAAAATAAAGGAAATTTATTACCTGTATACGGTACGGCCATACGGTAGTTGTCAACACAAACCAGACAAACTGTGAATCCTACAGTATCAAAAATTTACTCATTTATTCAATGACAATCATGTCATCATCTTCTGGAACATCATCATAACAATCCAATTCCTGAATTTCCTGGTGAATTTCTTGTGACTCCATTTCTTTCAGAATCAGTGGACCAAATCTCTCATGTTTAACCTAGGGGGGCCTTATTTTCGGGGGATGCCTTATATTTCACTCAGAAGGAAACCTGCAAGTAGGTCTTATTTTTGGAGGATGTCTTATTTTTGGGGAAACACGGTATCATCAAAAAGTATATTGAACTAATTCAGTTCTTTTTATTTCTACAGCCATCAACTCAGTCTAAGTTACCAACAACTCTCTTCACTTGACCACAGCAATAGACTGCTAACTGGTCTTTTTCTGCTTTCTCTCATGATTTTTAAAAAATATATATATTTTATTGATTTTTTTACAGAGAGGAAGAGAGAGGGATAGAGAGTTAGAAACATTGATGAGAGAGAATCATCAATCAGCTGCCTCCTGCACCCCCCCCCCCCACTGGGGATGCGCCTGCAACCAACGTACATGCCCTTGACCAGTATCGAACCCGGGACCCTTCAGTCTGCAGGCTGATGCTCTAACCAGTTTTGGCCTTTCATGCTTTTTATAACCTATGCTTCCTTCTGACTGCAGCCAGAAGGGGCTTCTTAAAACAGAGCTGGCACACAACACTCACAAATTAAAACCTTCCCAACTAGCTGTTCACTGTACTCGATGCCACTGGAGGGAAGTCATGCTATCTTGCCATCTCCTGGGGCAACCACTTGTCCACTTCATGAAGTTCTCTGTTTTACTCTATCCAGCCACTCTGAATAACTTTTATTTTTTCAAACATGCCATATTATTTCCCTCATCATGCTTTTATTCCAGCTGTGTTCTCTACATGGGATGCTTTCCTTGGCTCTTGAGATGGACAGCTCATCTCCTCTTTCAGGTCTCAGTTAATATGCTACTTCCTCTCTTTCCATCTAAATTCTTCTCTTTTCATTAATTCCTTTCACATCACCTATCTTACTTCCTTCATAGCAGTTATTTGAGTGTATTTATTTCATTTGTGTATTCTAAAATTTAAAGTCCAAGAAAACACTGGCCATATCTATCTTGCTCATTGCTCTATTATCAGGCGCCAGAATAGTGTCTGGTATAGGTTAAGTGCAAAAATAAGTATTGTTTTTTTAGTGAATGGATGGTAGATGTATTGATGTATTCAGAAGCTTGGTGACAGGGTTTTGTTTTGTTTTGGTTTGGTTTGTTTTTTGGTGTGTTTTTTCTTTCTTTCTTTCTTTCTTTCTTTCTTTCTTTCTTTCTTTCTTTCTTTCTTTCTTTTCTTTTCTTTTCTTCTTCTTCTTTTTTTTTCTTTTTCTTTTTTTTTTTTTCTTTTTGCCCTAGAATTGCTCACAGACCAGAGAATGAGATTCCTTGGGGCACTCTCTTACACAAAGAATGCACCATGGAGAGATTTATAGAGGAATACAAAAGAGATTATCACAATGCTGGTCCTTAGGGCATACACACCTCTGGATTCAATTTACTACCTTATTTTTTTCATTGACTTATCTCAGGAGTAGAGGATTTGTTAAGTGAATTATGGAATGTACTTCCTGACAATGGACTCCCTGTAGATATTAAAGATCATGTTGTAGAGGAATATTTATTGACACAGAGAAAAGTTCACGATATATTGCCAAGTGAAAAAGCAGGCTTCACAAGAATGTATTGAATATTATCTCTAGATCACTGAATACCTTGAACAATCTCACCCTTTTCTTAACACTTTTCCCAAGATTGTTAGGACATTATTTTCCTTTGCCTAGATCTTCTGCAGGCAGGCATCTTTGGTCACTTTTGGAATCAGATGGGAAGGGGTATTTTGGAAATGCCACATATAGAAAGGCCTTAAAGTATCAATACATATAATTCATAGGATATTTAATTTATATTAAATATAAATATAAAGGAATTATGGAGATTGTAATTTGACCAGGAAAAGCTTTGTATCAATATTATACTATATTGTATTATATGCCATGAAAGAGTTCAATTCTGGCTGGATCACAAAAGTAACTCCTTTGATACAATAAGGGAGCTGGAGTACTCCACTCTGAATGCAATAGAAATTCATCTCTCTGAATATAACTAAGTTTTTCACCCCCACCTTTGATGTCTAAATTACAATAATTTGAGAATCCCTTCTATGTGACTGTAAGAATCCAAACCTGTACATATTTATTTCTGAAGTTCATTGGAGGAATACGATATTATTTTCCTGGGCTGCCAGAACAAAGTGCTACAAACTGGGTGGCTTAAACAACAGAAATTTATGTTCTCACAGTTTTCAGAAATCAAGGTGTTGGCCTGATTGGTTCCTTCTCATATCTGTGATGGAGAATCTGTTCCATGTCTTTCTCTTAGTGTCTGGTAGCCAACTAAGGTTTCTTGGCTTGTATAAAGCAGTCTTTTTGTACCATCAGGCTAGTGAGATATGTTTCCCCTTATACATATCTCTATGTTCAGATTTCTCCTTTTCACTAGGACAAGATCCTCAATACCTTCTTTGAAGATAATCAGTTGCATAGGCTGATTGTTGAGAAATACTAGGTGACTGAGAGGTGCTTTTGGCAGTTCTTGGTGACATACAATATACTAGTACTCAAGCAAAGCTTTGTCACTCTGGGGTAGGTCACTACCAGCTTAGGGGGAAAAAAAGATAGAGGGGGAAATAAAACATGGGTAGCCTGAAAGACAAAGTCAGTTAGATTTATTTTGTTTTGTTTTCTGTATTAGCTGATATTTTTGGACCTCCTCAGGATCTAAGTAGATATTAGACATAGCTTTCTTAAACCAACTGACTGCCAACATAATGCCAATTAACATGTACCATGTTACCATGGGTGCAGCATGTTTTTCAGTTTAGCTGTCTTTTGACCTGAGGTAATGATGATTTCCATTTAGCTTTTAGGAACCTGGTGATTTATAGCAGGTGCTAGTTGGCTATCAATATTCTTACAACTATCAGACTATTGGAGAAATGAGACTGATTCCTAATGTGAAACTAACATCTTTAAAGGCTTACTTAAAAAAAAAAAAAGAAAAAAAAAAAGAATGCTTTAGTAGCCATTTTACTCAACACTCCAGATCTGACAAATTGCTCCTCCATAATTTTATTTGATTTTTATTGCAAGGATGTGTGGACAAAAGGAGCCACATGCTAACCTGACAAGCACAGGGGAGGCCTGCATAACAGTCTTGCAAACTTGGAGACCTAAGATAACCACAAAAAATGGTCTGAAAATTAAATATTTAACTATTGTACAAACAGGTTATAGTGGGTAGTGATGTCCTAGGCTGATATTTTCCCTGACAAAGATCAACTTAGATGTTTACTGAGCCCATTTGCCTTTTTTGCCTCTAAGATAACAAATATCTAGGTAACTTGTAACTTCCTTTTTACTCTGGACCCCTCAGGGCACAACAAATGGCACCAGGACATTTCCTCATTGTTATTATTATCAAGTTCATTGTCAACTGTTAATTACATTAAAGTATCCTGCATCCATCTCTGTAAAAGAAGCACATGTCCATCCTTTCATCTTTTACCCTATCCCAGAGGTTTCCTCCCTTTGCTTTATCCCACCTCCTTAATCTATCACAAATGAATTTCAAGTAACTCATCTATGTCCTTTTCTTTGATTGAAATATATAAATACAGATGTAAACGTCCATTTCTCAGGAGCATTATCTCAATTCCTTGAGGTTCTGCTTCCCAGCATACTGTATTTTCCGGCGTATAAGACGACCCCCTAATTTTACAGTTAAAACATAGGTTTAGGCATATATTCGCTGTATAAGACTACCCCCCACTTCCAAGGCAACACCAATTCTTTTTTTAATAGACCGCCTCTCTGACTCTGGCCAATCTGAGCAGGCTTTTTACTAGAACACAGTGTAGCTTCGGGTACAGAACATGTACACTGTGTTCTAGTAAAAAGCCTGCTCA